CGGAAAATGACAACGGGAAAGATCATCAGGGAAGGCTCAAAAATGGGTCTAACAAACATTACAGACCTAAAACAGATGGCAACGAACCATCAGACACGGAGAACTATTACCTCTGCCCTATGCACCGCCCTAGGTATAAAAAGAAAGACTAACTACCTAACTAACTAGACACAACAGACTCTGCAGCAGTGTGTATAAGAAATTCAAGACTGGGAAATGAAAACTGCCTCTGTGGACAGGCACCAAAGTTACTGCGTATCTTTTACAGGACGTTGCAGAAACAACCCGAACATTGGCTGCCGTAGTTTTTTAGGTAAATTTGCATCTAGTAGTTTGTCATTGCTTTCTGGACGGTCGGCTTCTCGATACCACTGTCCAAACCAACACAAGGCGCAAGGCCCGCAGCTGGGATCGAACCCGGCACCCCGGCATTACGAAGCGCGTGCGCAACGTCTAAGCCACAGACGCCGACGGACAAGCACTAAAGAATATTGAGCATGACTAGAGACATGCGTTCTACATGCAGCAGAGAGAACCCAGGTTTGGCCAATGAAAAGCAAGCTGTATGGGAGAATGTGTCGCAGCACAGAATTCATAAAAGCCTATGGCTTTCACATCTGGAAAACCACTAGCGGGAGGAAAGAAAATCAGAATGATTTGAACAAATATGTCTTGTATGCGGTTCCAAGTAGAGAACGTTTTTATTTTTTTTATTTTATATTATCTGCATGTTATTAGAAAGAATTGGCTCCAGGACTTCAGTACAACTGAAGAGACTGATGAGAAAAACACGAACAAGGGGAAGGCAACGAGGTTTTTATTTGGATGGCTTGGTCATATGGATGGGGGGAAAGACAAGAACACCGACCTGATCCGGGATGCTGGTGATCGCGTGAGACGGCGAAGCATGACCGGTTACGCTGATCGGCAAGGCAAGTGAATGATAATGATACGTATACTTGTACAATCATCGTCACGTTTCGCTTAATAATTCTTCATAAAGTCCACGCATTGTGGCGTTGGTAGTCATGTCTATCCACAACCTTCTGTTTCGCCCTACTTTCAATCATCTCTTACACAGATAATCCTTCATGTCAGACTCTTCAGCATCTTTTCTCTCGGTCTTCATCTGCCTCCTCACCCCCCCCCCCTCCTCCTCCCCTCCTCCTCTCCATCTTTCCTACTACCACACGATGTACTGGTTTTCTCCTTGTCACGTGACCAAAGATGTAGACAATTAGTTCTCTTTGTGAGTCAGCTTTTTTCAAGATTTCCTAATTACTCTTTTTTTTTATCCGCCCCCCGCCCCAATACCACCCCCCCCCCCACCCCCCAACCACCCCGCTCAATTAGTCAGAAAGAACTGCTGGATGCGTTAGTCAAAAATCATACATAATGAAAGATTTAAACACATATTAAATATGGTATTGTTTCATTGCTCCACGCCTACATCATTTTTTACTGCGCAAATGGCTCTTTCATCACTCGCTCAATTAAGTCATTATTTTCGTGTTAACGTTGTTCTACCCGATTATTTTCAATTTGATTTAGTAGACGCATCGCAGTTGACCTGTACTTGAAACTGTCAATAATAACATTAATCATATGTTGTAATTTACGTCTGAACAGAGAAATTAGGCTCCTGCGTGGTTCTTTGGGGAAAACGATAGCAGTTATATTTGAGAATGTTAGTTAGTTAGTTAGTTGGGTTATCATCATTGCACTCCGGACATGTTTAAAGGTGCTCAGTTCCTCCCCTCAGTATAAACCCCAACGTCCGATGGCTAATAGTACCAGTTCTATGTTGATTAACAAGTCTTCTGGCGTGTCTGGTGTGCGTCTCGTTTTACCGATCTTAATTCTCAAGTCTGCCGTTTTGGCGAGTGATGTGGATTCACTGCCACCAAAGTATTTAAAAATGTAACAATACAAAACATGTGAAGCGCACTATTGAGAATGTCCTAATTGCGGGGATGTTCATCTTTAACTCAGCTCAATTCTAGTAACACAGTGGTTAGGCTACAGGCATAACTTGACGCTCTTGGAGGATTTAGTTTACTGTTCTGGTAGTATAGAGAAGATGATAGGGTCATTTTCAGTCCGTGATCGTCATCTGCATCAATTTTCACGTCTGTCCTTAAGCGTTGTAGGGAGGATCAGTTTGCGATCCATTGCTTGACGGGCAGCATTAGCTATTGTAATTTCGTATCGATGTAGAAGCTCTTTAATGTCATCAGTCCATAACCTCCTAGGGCGGCCTCTTGCTGTTACATCAGATCTTCTCATGTGTAGTGCCTTCGTTGGTAGTTCTTTTGGCTGCATTCCTGATAGATGACCAAACCATTTGATCTGTTATTTCTCCGTGAATTTGCTGCATGGTTTTGTTCCTACAGTCTGTCTGATCATATTTCTCACCTTGTCTCGGATGGTTAAGTCGGCGGCTTTTCTCAGGTATTTCATTTCGCAGGTGTTAGTTGTACGTAGATTAGTCTTTGATCAAGTCCAAGTCTGGCACTGATAGCTTGGTATTGGTATGAATATGCTGTTTATAATACATATCTTGGTGCTCATACTTATGTGTGGACGTCTTAAAACGGTATTAGTCGGTATATAAGTACACTGGCTCGTTGGTATCTCGTTTCTGTTTCCAGATCTGCTTTCCCGTCCTCCGAGAATAGACTTCCTAGATATTTACATTGTTTTACTTGCTCCAGGCAAGTACTTTTCAACCCGATATGTAGCAGGGCTAGGAATTCTGCTGACCTGCGTTACTTCAGTTTTATTATTATTTATTTTTATGTTATATCTTGTGCATGATGAACTCAGCCTGTTCAAATGTTCTTGCAGTCTACTCCCCCTATTATAGAACACGCAGTGATCGTCTGCAAAAGGTAGCCCAGTTTCATTCCGGCTAAGTGACTACCCAGAAGGTCTTTTTAAAATCAAATACAGATATCTCTTTTAGGAATCATTGATGAGAATCACACAGAAGCAAATTGCCACCCTGTCCATCCGTTTCGCCATCATCATGTACCGACTGGCGTAGGCCATCATGCCTCTCCGCAATCTGCGATCTTGAACAGCGTGTATCAGTTCGTGTGCTTACATCCATCCATGCCACGACAGAGGGCCGTTAAGACTCATCTTGCCTTGTCTTCTGCTGCTTCTTTTTTCCCCCCAGATATTTCCAGTGGTTACAGAATGTACCAGGTTCCATCTTGTTGTGATACAACTCAAAACTGATGACTGTCTTTTTCTAATGGTTGTGAAAAGTTTTTTTCTCACGCCCGCCTCTTTCAAAACTTGTGGGTTGCTGTTTTTAACTTACCAAAGGATTTTTCTGTAAAACTTCATCTCAGAGATTTCAAGAATTTGTTTGGCTTATTTATTAATTGTCCATGACTCACATCCAAATGTTAAAACTGGTTCCAAATAGTATGCAAGAACTCTTTTTTTTTTTTTCTAACGTCCAGTGAAATGGTTTTAATGTCTAAACTTTATTTTATCAAATGCCCTTTGAGCCCTATTCTGTTAAGTTTCTATGTGATGTGTCTAATGTGTTTGAAGTGACACAATTGAGGTAAAGGATTTCATTGGTTGTATGCGGGTCTCCGAGTCGAAGGGGTCATTGGCCATGTCTATCGTACAGCTTGAAATCCACAATGCTTTCTGTTACTTGATTAATTCATAATATTTAACGGCTTCAAATGGTTCCCCCCTCTGTTTATTTATAGGAATGACGTATACACACCGGAACCTACCAATCAAATACCTTTCTTAAATGTTTGTGTATTCTAGACAGGGCAATAAGGTCTACTGTGTACGTAAATTGTTGCTGTGATTGTTATTTGACATTTGCCTCGTTAATATAAATTTCTGTAACCTATGGTGCCATTTCAATGGGTTGAAATGAATTCTGTCCGTATTCCATAGTCGTGGATTTCAAGCTGTACGATAGACATGGCCAATGAGACACCTTTTTTTGGGGGTGCCGAGTTGACCATGTATCTTAGTGCACTTGTATTCATGGCGAGGCGCAGACGCCGTCTGGAGGTGACAGGTTCAATTCCCGGCACGGTAACTATAGCTTTCGATTTTTATGTTGTCTAGTGTGTTCTTCTATCTTTCTACTTCTTTCTATGAGTGCCGTTCACAATGCTTTCTGTTACTTGATTAATTCATGGCTATTTCTTACAGGTTGATGACCTCATGTGTTTGTAGATCTGTCATTATGTTAATCTTTCCCGTGTCTTCTTGATCTGCTTCGCATTCTGTTTCTCCATTCCCCGCTGTTTGTATCGTTGGTAAGAATCAAAGATTCTTGGTAGGACTGTTCTCAGAAGATGGAAATAAGGCTTCATCGGTTTGTACATATTCAGCGCTTTTTGTCTAGAAAAAAATGGTGCCGGTACTAACCGCAAAGTGTCTAACAAGGTGCCGGTACCCACTACAAGGTGTCAGTTAGATCAATTCATTGTAGCAGACGTTATTCGGCTAAGTATACCTTATTTTCAAGATCTGAACATCGAGGAAGATTGGCTAGTAAACAGCATCCTGTCTCAGAAGCTGAAATATTCATATCAAACGCCACGACGGATTGGAACAAAATATAGCAGAAGGCATGGTACCAGGAAGGAGTGGCAGGGGCCGGCCGACACGAAGATGGGCACAGGATATAAGTGGCTCCTTGAGTATAAAAGTGCGTGAGGCAGGAGAGCTGGCGAGAGACCGAGTTTCTTTCAGGCTCTCGATGAGAGCGACGTTCTGCAAAGGACCTGCTACAGATTATGATGATACATTATTTTATGATTTATTTGAGTATTAAATCAATTCGTCACCATACAGCTGTTGTGTCGATATTTCATTGTTAGTTCTAACTCTCTGTTCTCCGTTGTTGGCATCTCTGACAGGTGCAAAAGTTCGTCGTAACACTCTTTCCTAAAGTTAATACAAGTATCTTTATTTACCTCGTAACTAATACATATCCGGCATCGAATCTTTTATCCGCTCCTTAGCATTGGCAGGAACATCAGAACGATGACAAGTATCAGGATAATCAACAGAACTATTCCCAGTATGATACTGGCAATAGCTAAATCCTTGGCGTACTTCCCCAATATGCCTGCCTTCCGGAAGTCTCCGTCGCTCTTGGCGCACTGGGCCTGAAGAAGAGAGGTCAGACAGGACGCGTTAGAAGATGAAAGAGGTTTTCTTGTAAGTAAAGTAGAGTCAACGATACAAGTGGGAGGGCAACATCAAGAGAGGCCTGAACAGCAGTTTGAGAGAGTATACAACCAAGACAAGAGTTAGAGCGTGTTGGAGATCCTTTGCAGGAAGGAAATATTTGCATACTAAGCTAGGTGTAACGAGGAAAGATCGACTCAGAACAATGATATTAGGAGGAGAGTCGGCACAGAGCCAGTACTGAACTTTATAGGTAAACAACAAATCAAACGGTTTGGCCATGCAACAAGATTGGCATCAGACAAGGTATCACTGAAAGTAATGTTATACAGATACAACGGTAACAGAGCCAGAGGTCGACTGCCCAGAATATGGACCGCAGAAATATCAGACACTTTAAGTATTTTTAGTGAAGCGAACAGAAGTGTTCATTCTAAAGATCTCTTCCCGCCCTGTCGTCGCGAGGCCAGGAGTAGAAGAAAGAAGAAAAAAGGAGATCTCTTGCAGCCAACCTTCAGTGTGAAGACGGCACCCGACTGATTTAAGTAAAGTAAGTGCAGCTTGGGGCATGTTTTGCTAGGTACTGCTTTAGTCGCAGGGTTGGGTTAACATGCCTTTGAGGCCCTAACGCACCTTCCAGATTTAGTGAGCTAACCAATCAAACAACTAACAGAGAATGGCAAAGAGCTGGGAAAACACAACCTATGATATACACATTAAATCAATAAGAAAGTTGGAACAAAGAAAGAAAGAGAGAAATATTTTCAAGAAGTATTCGCTTAAACTGTGAAATATAAAGGAACATGGCAGCATTCTTCTTCTTTTTCTTCTTCTTCTTCTTTTTCTTCTTCTTCTTCTGCCTTTCTAGCCCTCAATGAAGCATTGGCCCTCAACCAACTCACCCCAAGTCATTCTATTCTTTGCTATCGCATCTTTTTAACTTCATTCTCCAGCTCCCTTCTCCATGTTTTTTTTTTTTTTTGGCCTTCCCTTATTCCCATGCCCCTGTGGGTTCCAATGCAAAGAAAAACATGATAGCACCCATCGCTAACTCGCATGATGGGACCTCTGCGACGAGCACTCGCTTGAATGTAAATGGTCACTCGACAGATACAGGTTAGCATAGGGCCATGTGCCTGTGGGGCACTGGATCAAGTTCCCAGCATGCCCATGTGTTAAGACAGCATTGGTTCTCCCATATTTAGAAAGTAAAGGAGCCTTTTCCACGCCTTTCAGACATATTGGGTATATAGGGCTAGATCTAAATTTTGTAGACCAAACGACACTTGGTAGGTGATGTGGTCAGCATTACGCCGGCCGACTTTACTTCCCAGGACTGTACCTGGTACCCACTATTGGCTGCGTCGACTAGGGAGCCAAGTTCATTTTTGAGAAAACATCCGGGCCACCTCAGGAACCGAACCCAGGACCTTCCGATCCGCAGCCAAGCGTCTAGCCACTAGACCACACACAAACAAAAACACACACACACACACACACACACACACACACACACACACATATATAAATATAATTCAAAATATAAGCAATAATAATAAATACAAATTCATTTTATCGAAATTAAAATGTTAGAAAGATAGAAACTGTTTATTGCTTACACTACTCCTTTGTTTATATTTGAAAAGCAGTTTTTAAATGCAGAGTTTGTGATCAGATCCTCCAAATAAATCTGGTGTAACACATGTACTACTACACTTAACGAGATAAGGCATCCGCCTGCGTTGTTGCATAGTTATTCTGATGGGATGTTTTCATTTCAACCAAGAAAAAAAACCTTCTATTAAAAATGTATGTGATGCCCAACCGTTTGTGATGCCCTAAGCACATACTTGGTGTGCCTCATGGCCAACCCCCAGTCTTGTGTAGACCAATAGGAATTCGTTGGGTGATGTGGTTAATATAAAGCCGGCCGCCTTTACTACCCAGGATCTTTAATACCTAGTGTCCATTTTATGCGAAGTGGGTCTGCGTGGTCTCGAGGCATAATGTCCGTCTCGAGTGCTAGAGGTTCCGGGTTCAATCCTCGGTAAGGGAATGGGATTTTTTTCATGTGGACAGACTTCTAGTAATTCCCCATGGTCTCTGGGTAGTTAGGTCGGACGCCCGTGTGCATTGTTGCACACGTAAAAAATCCTGTGGCAGTTGGAAATCGAAAAGAGTAGCCTAACGGCACTGCCCAGGCAAAATTTGGAGTGAAAAATCTACCCAAAAGTATTTCAGGATCCTCGCTGGGGCTACAGAACTTGTTCACTGTGGTGAGCTTTGTCGGACTCAGACTTGAGTTAGAGGAAGAACGGAGCACTTATGGGTTACTTCCCGTGTGCCATGACGTTGGTCCGTTGTTCAAACCCCAAACCTCAAACCATTTTATGCGGGGTCGACTTGGCAAATGAGGTCTTTTTTTAGGTCTGCGGTCTGATTGGATTTCTTGGTCGTCCGATACTTATGGAGTAAGAGTAAATGACGTGTGGGTATCGAGGAGCCACGCTGGGAGAGGGGGGGGGGGTGTCAATTTCAGTGCGTGCGGACTGGTAATCTTGAGAGAGTGCATGCATACAATCAGGCGACCGCCTTTACTTCACGGGACTTGACCTGGTACCCATTTTAGGCTGGGTCAACTGAGAGCAAGGCCATGTTTGAAAAAGTCCGGCTCCGTCGCATATATATATATATATATATACACACACACACAGACACACAGACACACACAGTTTTTTTAAAAGAACGGTAGGTAGATACAAAGATAGGGAGTTAGGTAAGAGGATACTCATCCAAGCAGCTGAGCAGATATAGGAAGTTTCAGTTATCCAGATAGTCAGATAGATGAGTAGAGATCTAGATAGGTGGTCATGCAGGTGAGCAGATAGTTGGATTGGTAGTCACTCAGGTAGTCGAACAGGTGAACAGATAGTTGGATTTGTGGTCACACTGGTAGTCGAACAGGTGAGCAGAATAGTTGGATTGGTAGTCGCTCAGGTAGTCGAACAGGTGAGCAGATAGTTGGATTGGTAATCACTCAGGTAGTCGAACAGGTGAGCAGATAGTGAGATAGGTAGTCACTCAGGTAGTCGAACAGGTGAGCAGATAGTTGGATTTGTGGTCACTCAGGTAGTCGAACAGGTGAGCAGAATAGTTGGATTGGTAGTCGCTCAGGTAGTCGAACAGGTGAGCAGATAGTTGGATTGGTAATCACTCAGGTAGTCGAACAGGTGAGCAGATAGTGAGATAGGTAGTCACTCAGGTAGTCGAACAGGTGAGCAGATAGTGGGATTGGTAGTCACTCAGGTAGTCGAACAGGTGAACAGATAGTGGGATTGGTAGTCACTCAGGTAGTCGAACAGGTGAGTAGATAGTTTGATTAGTAGTCACACTGGTAGTCGAACAGGTGAGCAGATAGTTGGATTGGTAGTCACTCAGGTAGTCGAACAGGTGAGCAGATAGTTGGATTGGTAGTCATTGAGGTAGTCAAACAGGTGAGCAGATAGTTGGATTGGTAGTCACTCAGTTAGTCGAACAGGTGAGCAGATAGTTGGATTGGTAGTCACTTGGGTAGTCGAACAGGTGAGCAGATAGTTGGATTCGTAGTGACTCGGGTAGTCGAACAGGTGAGCAGATAGTTGGATTGGTAGTCACTCAGGTAATAGAACAATTGAGCAGATAGATACGTAGGCACACAGGTAGTCGGAAAGGCGAATATAGAGAACCCACACTCAGTAACTAGTCAGTTGTGTATCCTTTGCAGGAAGTTGCACAACCAGCGTGGTTTTTCTTTGTGAATTTTATGTTCGGTCATTTGCTATTGCTTTGTGAATGGCCAATACTCGCAACGCAAAAACGGTCTGCTGCCAAATCGCTTGCAGCTGCGATCGAACCCGTCACTCTGGCATTACGACGTGCTTTCGCAACGCATAAGCCACCATCTAAGTGAGCCGAATTAAATTTTGTTGAAATAGGAACGCCGTTTATATTTGGCCAACAAACTGCCATCTTACCCGGCAGGAATACACCAGCGAAGCAATGCCAACTGGCCAGAAACACAAGAAGGCGGAGATACAAGCCAAGGTTCTGTGGCTGCTGGGCCGGTACTGGATAAAACTGTTGTCAGTGTATTCCATCTTGGAGGCGTCTTCTTCCGCGTCTGTCGGTGGCTTGACACGGCAATGGCGATTTAGAAAATAAAAGGATATGAATTAACTACAAGACTAGACTAGTTAAAATAGTATTGTAATAGGATAATTGGGCATAATAAAAATGATTGCAACAATAAAGATTATAATCACAATTATCTTATATAGCATATCGATACTATACTTAACGACACAAGGCATCCGGTCGGCCTTGTTACATAGCAGAAGAAAAAGAAAACGAAGAAGCAGAAGAAAAAGAAGAAGAAGAAGACGACGAAGAAGAAGAAGAAGAACAAGAACAAGAACAAGAACAAGTAGAACAAGAAGAACAAGAACAAGGAAAAAACGAAAAAGAACAAGAACAAGAAATAGGAGGAGGAGGAGAAAGAGGAGAAGGAGAAGTAGAACAACAACCAACATAACCACAAAGACCCAAGAAAAAGACAGCGCACTATAAAACATCTCAGTTAGGACACGAGTCTGCAAGTAAAATGTTACCTACATCACATCCCGTCAATCGCCAACTATCTAAAGAAACAAATAAGTCAACCATCGGATGCCCAAATCGCCAGTAGAATCACAACCGCCATGTAACTCTTGTTACAGAGTTGTTTTTGTTTTTGTTTGGGGGGGGGGGGGGGCGGGGGCGAAATGCAACGGTATGCAGC